CACACTCCATAATGAAGCAATTCTCGGATGTAAACAGGTTTTTCTGCAAAGAATATTTTAAATTATGTTGCCACTGGATTGTTTCGAAGTAATTTTCTTGAGAACGGAGGCTGAAGCGTTGACCGAAAAATTTGTCTGGATGACTTGTTTGTTGACTCACGGCTCAGACACCGTTTTTGCAAACTACTGAATACTGTATTAAATTTTCCCTACACTTCCAATCAAAATATCTATTAAAATGTGTCTCACGCCGACTGATCTCGTTATATTGAATTTTGTAAACCCTTTGGGGGTGCGTGACAACATAAAAATCTATTTATATTTTTCCTATAACTATACGTAATTTCAAAACTGTCTGTAACGTGCCATAAACCTTCAGGGGAATTTGCTAGTGTCAGTAACAACGTGAGTTCGAGAGCAGGCTTGAAGTTTTCAGCATAAAATCATGATAAATATTCGGTCTACGCTATTTAATCAAAACGAATCGAGTTTTTCGAGTCTAAGTGAGGCGTCATGGAGTTTCTGTCATGAAAAAACGTTTTTTATCCTGTAACCTTACCAGGCAGGGAAAGATTAACTCGGGCTTCGCCTGGTGTTTTAAATACTCCCGACAGCTCGGGGCTTCGTGACGTTCAAAGTTATTTATCATAAACCGTTTATCTTTTATAAAACCGCTTCTAATAGGCACACAGTCGTGATATTGCATAGGTTTTAACGGCATTAGAGCATATCACCTACAGTTGGCTCTTGATTCAGATTYCAACAACTGTATTTTTCATTATCGTATTTCTCAATTGAAAAAACCGTATTATGCCTCTAGTCTTTTTCTGCTTTATTTAGTAAGACAATTCACCTTTCATTTCTATAAAAATCCGAGATCTAGACAAAGCTCTAAGCGCACAACTTGTCTAGGACTAGACGCTTCCGAGATTCCGGAGTATAAAAGAGACATATATCATGTCCACACACATGTTTTATGTATTTTTGTTGTGCTTTCGTGTCGAAATTATATTTGGTATACGTAATTCTGTTGAAGATGAAAGAACAAGTGTCTTAACTAATTTGCATGTGTTAATTACCTTTGTAACGACTTTTATGCTTCAGATATTTATTTTAAATTATATAGGTATAATTTAAAATAAATATCTGAAGCATAAAATAAGTCTAGACTAGGATTTTAACAGCCCTTCAGTGGCAACAAAATTGAGATAAATTCGTTGACGTGAATATATTTTAACGTTGTAAACAGTTAGAATTAAAAGTAATAGTGACTGCTAATCGGGCACCTAACTTCACCTCTGATTTCGTCGAAAAATGTTGGTCTTTAAGAACAATTATGTAATCTTAATGAACCCAACTTTATCCATCTTCTACATAAAGTTCCGTAATTCCCAGTTCCGGAGACTTTAATTAAAACACTGAATTTCGTTATCGAGACTGAAAACTGAGCAAAATTCACATAATCTTGAATAAATAAATAACTTACCGACGACTTTCCTGACGACCATCAAAGACAACTGGAGAGTTTGTTAAAGGCAATTTGTTCGAAAAAGTTTGTAAACTTATTTTGATAAGGGGTTTGGACATGATCCACTTGTTCAATAAATTAGAATAAATTCGACTTGGTCGATGTTGTCTTTGTTGAATTATTAATGATTTGTTCGAGTTGAAAGAATTACTTGAAACGCATGGATTTTGTAGTGGATCGAATGGGTTTTGGAAGAGAAGTCTCTTTAAACAATTGAAAGTATTCTAGAAACTAGCTCTGTCAACAGTCACTTGATAAAATACCATTACGTAAACACAGCTTAGCATCAGCACTTTTTTAAATAAATTTTAAGGTGCACTTGCATAAAACTGCTTACACTTTTACTTATACATATTGCCTTATGAGTGGTTACACTAATTTTTTAACATAAGAGCAAGAAATATTTATTTTTTTTTTTATTTAGTCAAATATATAGAAAACCGCATTCTTTATAGAATTTTGTTGGTTGCTAATAAACACTTATAATTTATTAAAACTTTCTGATAAATATTATGAATCTTGCTCTTCTAAAATATTATTTAACATTTTCACTCACGTCAATATTTTCCCAGTGACAATTTATTTTTTGCTATATATACCGAGTGTTCGAAAAATAAAGTGCGGCCGGCTGTTTCTTGAAAACAACAAAATAAGGAATTGAAAAAAAGTGACAATCAATCCAACAAACATAAATTCCTCGAAAACGTTTTCAGTTATTCCGAAATGGTCGAGAAAGGATATCAAGCTTCTATTTATTGGCATTGCGTAAATGCTATTTCTCACAGGAAATACTTCTGAAAGAGTTCATATATTGAATTTTCACATTTTAATTTTCACAATATTTTATATATAAAATTATTAACTAAACTAAATGGAAAATCATTCTTCACCTTGTATAAGAAATTATATGAATATACTTTTGGTATACCATTTAGCTTCTAATTGAAACTTTCTTTTTGCATGTTGGATAAAAGGTTTCATTCCTCCACTTATCGTTACGATTACCTACAATTTTACTTTACTGTGACATTTAGACATTGTTTTACATTTTTAGAAATATGTATGTGAAATACAATAATATCGAACTTTTTACATCATTCTGAAAATTTCACCTACTTTCAACTTTTATTATGAATTTTACATTGATGTGAAATAGAAACTAGGCACATTAGCAAGTTAATATTCTCAATTCACGGTAAATTAAGTTCAAATTTACCACTTATCAATGATGGTTTAATATTATGCACTTAAAAAGGTACAAAAACTTCAAAATTTAAATAGGTACGTCATTTCAATAAAATTCGCGTTTTTTAGATCATGAATAGCACTGGATTGGTCTGAATTTATGAATTATTCAGTCGCATCATTTCCGATCTAATCCTTAAATTATCTACTTGATCTAAATAATTGTAAGCCTGAGATAGAACTTGGCCGACCAGCTAAAAAAATTAGATATTTACATTGCGGTGAAATGTTGTTTACTGGTTGAAGCACGGGTAGATATTGTAATATGGAAAAACATCTTGTTATAGAAAGGAGAATATTTTTCAGATGTAAAATTATTGCAATAAATTTTGTAAATTAGTAATTTTTTCTGTTATGAATGATTTTTTTTAAGAGTCGAGAGTCGAAATAAACAAATCGAATAGTAAGTTACAAATCGAATAAGATATAAACAAGCTTTCTATATACTTAATGATAGAAGTTGGGGGCAACGTTTTTTGATTAGTTAGTTATTTAGCCCGTTATCGAATTTACATATTTCGATAAGTTTCTGAAAAAACAACAGGAATAACAAGAATTCTCAATAATTTTAAGACAAATCGTTTTTGTTTTGTTTTATTTCAATTTCAGTTTTTCCGCATTGATCATGCTGAATTCATGCTATATTCAGGTTCTTATTTAAAATGTTAAAGAAATATGCAAATATATCTGAACATTACAATCAGGCCCGTATTATTATTTTAGTTTTGATTCAAATGATCAATTTATCTGAATTAAGTTACTCATTTTGTATTTAAATATACAGTTCGTTATTGATGTTCGGAAAAATTTGCAACTATTTTCCTGCTGCCATATTTTGTGCACTGAGTCACATTTTGTATTGCTTTATCATCGAACCTTTTGCGAAAAGTATTATAAGTGTATGCTACTTTACGGCTCGAGTTGCGTTAGTAAAATTAACCAAAAATTTGCCCTATACTAAAACTAAGTGGTAACACTCTATCTTGACCTTAGCAATTAAGAATCTAGTGCATGTTGAGCAGGCCTCAAACAATGTTTCATCTATAATTACATATGCAGATCAGCCTATATTTCGTAGTTCGTTTATTTTCATTCACCGACTGCTGAGACCATAATAAAATGAAAATATAGTAATCCCGTAGTAACGATAAACTGCTTGGTGTGTCAACTTTGACTTATTTATGCAAAATTCCGCTTGTTTTTGTTTTTGTTGCATCACACCGTCGGCGAGACTCGAGGCAGAGTTTACTTATGTTAATTCACCATTTTGAAATATGTGCTTGAAAATGCGGATCATGTTGAGTAAATTACTACTCTGCAAGTGAATATTTACCAATACTGTGCAGGCGGATGTTGTGCATGAGCGCATATAAATTTCACTTTGTTATATCGTATATCAAAATAGCGTTTCCAGCATATACGCACTCACTGTACAAGAAACATGTTTTTGAATCAAAGGCACTGAAAGCTAAAGTAACCCCTATTTACTTTTTCTCCAATACAATTGCGCTCTGAAAAAAAGTAGGAAAATTGATTAGGTACTTACTCCAAAAAGTTGGTAACTTCTCGTCTGCTGCAATTCGACCAGCTCACTTGAACTGCATCGGCTTCAAATGCCGGAGTCATAATGTGGACTTTGTTTCCAACTTTTCTCTTGCATCCAATTTTTTCCGTATCGTGCAGCATGCCAAAGCTGTAAAATATTGAATTATTTCAGTTTTACCTTCGTAGGAAAAGATGTTTCATTTTTCTCCACGAACTTTGTACAAATGTTAGGATGAAACAAAAAAATATTTCAGCTTTAGCTTAGCAGAATATCCGTTAAAAATTGACTGCAAAGATTAATAAATTAACGGAGCAAAACGAATATTTGTCTACAAGACATTAATAAAAATAATAATAATACATAGTTTAAAATGGTGTCCTGTATTGCAAAATGCTTGAAGATTTCCCGAGATAAATTTAATTAGCATTTGGCAAGAAATTCACTATTTCATTTAATCGCAAATTTACTGCTCAAGTTTACTGCGTCGATTTTGAAAATATGACCGCATTTAAATGTTGTATTTTAAATTGAAATTTTAAAATTTTAAAAAAGTTTAAATTTTCAGCTTCAGTTTCAAAATGTGCTAAAAATGAAAAAAAAAATGTGCTTGTGTTTAAAATGAAGTTATCCAAATTACACCGCTTCTATATTAAACATTTCAGCCAGCAGCCAAAAATGAGTATGCCAAAAAAGATTAAGCTCACATTTTACATTCGACTTTTGAAGTTAAAGTTATTTCAGATCATAAGTTAAAATGTTCAATTTCACGTTAATATCAACTTAACAACGTTAATTTCAACTCAGTTTAATTATAACATGTTCATATAAGGCACAAAAATGTGGACTCAATTGAAAATTTTGGAACATCTAAAAATCGGTTATTTTTCCAACTAACTTACCAATAGGACATCAAAACTAAACTGGCAATTGAAAAGTCAAAAATTACTCTTAAAATTAGATTGGTTATAAAAATGTAAGATTTAATTTAACGTTCTAATTCTGATATCTTTGATATGCATTTGTGTGCAAACTCTATTTGAAAATATAACACACGAAAAAGCGAAATGGTACATTTTAGATGCCAAGGATGCGAACAAAATTAAATTAAATTCTATTAAGAAATCCGAATGAAAAAGAATCACATATATAGAATTTTATTTAAAAAAAATACAAAATTACCGATATCATGAGCCAACCTGCATTCGAAGCAACATTTGTAAATTATGCTTCTGCTTGCTTACTATATGTATTTTTTGATAAAATCTTATCAAAATTACTTCTAGTACGGTTTAAAACGGTTCCTGCCAACTCAATTTTCTACTTGGCATTTTCCAGTTAATTTGAAATACAAACTTATTTTGTACATAAGTTCCATATTGTTGAGGCGGATTCATTTTTTTACAAACTTCTTTTTGGGTATTTGAGCTTGAGCCTAACTGTGTCACAGGATACCCTCTAGGTGATAGTTCTTGACTACTTTTTGATAAATAATTCGTTCTTATTGCGAAATAGGAGCCTGTTTATCAATCTGTAATAAAAGACGTGAGGAAATTCTGTCTTTTTTACAAACTTAGTGATTTGGATTTATTGGATTTGAGCCCAATATTCATGTCAGACTCATATTCATTTGACTGGTGCAAAGAGCAAACATTAACTGATCAATTTTAAAAAATGCAAATGCGTCTTCACAATCTAAATGGAAATCACTTAAAACAATGAGAAACAAATTGCTTTGGAAAATTCTATAGTTGACTAGAAGTGGACCAATAACTAAAGCATCCTAACGTTGCAATAAAAGATATATTCCATTAAACCTGATAGGTTATCTTGTATCTTTATTTATGTAGCACTCCGGAGCTGCGCGTAATAGAGATACCAATAAAATATCAATATACTCGAGTCGTAAAGATTATGCTCACTTAACGATAAAAAAAAGTTATACCCGTAGCTTGGATTATCTTAGTTCAGGCTAGTAAAACGGATATTTTAATGCTGCACCGAGTTGCAGCAACACCTTTATTGATAATGGAAAGCAAATGTGAATTTTGTGTTTCGAACGATTTAGCGCGGAACTACCCGGTTAGGTTAGTTAATAGTAATAAACTGTTGGTTTAGATTAGAATTATCTGCAAGTACTTACTTATGCCCCATTTCATGGGCTATGGTATGCGCTGACGTTATTCCACTGTCTTCGTTCACACTGCAACTTCTGGATGCTTTGCACATTCCTCCAATGTGTGCCACCCCCAAAGTCCCACAAGGAGTATCTTGTCTGGCGCAAATATCTTTTCTGGAAAACACAAGCGAAAAGGTTCATACTTTAGTCAAAATATTCAGGCAAAGGCCGTTACCTTGTCAGTAGAATAGCCACATCGTGATGTTGCGGATCAGAATCATCTTTGGGGTTCAGATCTCTTTGCCATTTGCAGAAGTTCTTCAATGTTACATCAGCATTAGTGGTAGAATTAAATTCCGGCTCATCTGATAGATAGTCGAGAAGGAATATTTTCACAACTGCCACTTTAATGTAATTTCCAATGCTCGGGTCTTGATAAAACGAGGATACCTAGTAGAATGGAGAAAAATCAGGAACATTGAAATTTCAAGGAATAATTCTGGAATATTTTAAATCACAAAACGATCCAAGATTCCTGCTTTGCCCGGAAGGAGTATATTAGCAACCAATTGGAAAAAAGGATCAAACACAAACCCAGTCATTTCTTTTAAATGCGTTTACATCAAAATTCAGCCGACGGCAAATAAGTTTTACTTTGTTCGGATTTTGGCTTTTAAGCTCTTTAAGTTCAGCTTTTATTTTACTTTGGCCGTTGTCAAAGAACTGCAATACACCCTAAAGCTTTTAACGCCCTTACGGGATTTCGAAAATCTATTTTACGTAGTGCTAACCTTTTGGTGTCGAGACCTCTTGGAATCGAAATCGATTTTCTGCATTCGATGACCCGCGGTAGAAAAGCAAACATACAAATAATGCGTCGGTTTCATTTTATTGTAGAAGAAAGAATTGAACATTTATATAAAATAATTTCTTACCATATTCATCAAAGTCAAAATGTATGTTTCAATGTCTCCATCCTGGTGAAATTCTCCCATGCTTGAGTCAGCAACAATTGCTGTTTCTACAAAATGGGGTTGACTTATTGAGCGCCGTTCCCTTACATTGTTAATGTGCTTGTACTTCAACGTCTTCATCCGGGAGTGTTTTATGCTGGCTATTTTAAATTTCTTCTGAGCCTTAGAATGTTTGTGCTTTTTTTCTTGCACTTTAACTTTGCCCAGTTGCTTTTGCCATTCTATTCTAAAATAAACATTTTTTTGTATTAATTATAAACTTTTTATTTCAGTGAAATTCAAGTTTGGACATCTATTTTAGCACAACAAATATTCTAAATTTTACATACAAATTGCCAAATTTATAAATAAATCTAAAATGTATATGCTTTTTTCAATATTTTTTCGACCTTCGATCAAACTGTTAGTTAGTTGGGGCCTATTTGACTATTAATTTCCTTTTATCGAGACGCATATGATGAGTTTTCGGATTAAGTATGTGAGTTCATTAACACATAATAATAAACTATTTTTAACACCGTGATTGTATCGTTTGCCTGCCTAAAAATAATTTTTATGATGCGCTATTTATTTTCTCTGGTATTTATTTAATCAAAATATTATATTTAGATGGATAATCTGACATAATAATAATATTTACTGTTTAGTTATTTCCTAAGCAGCTTTGGAAGTTCCATATCCAAATTAATTTTAATAATCTAACTTTTCTAAACATTTGCGTTCAATAAAAGTTCACGCTCTGTTTTGCGGTTTTCTGCATAAGCATGCCTAATGATTTCGAACTTACTCTGTCAGTCGTTTTGGATCCCTTGTTCCGCAGTTTGACTGATGATGAAATTTCTTTTTTTTCTTTTTCTTTCTCTTCTTTGCCAATTTGGTATCGGGTATGCTATTAATAACAGCTGATCTTTTGTATATTAGATGCTTATGGCCTGGAACAATCGATTTGTCTGGATGGTAAGCGGGCTCAACAAAATATTTTCCTTTTTTCAGTTGTATCATGCCAGCCTGAAACGTGGACAAACAAAAAAAATCAAATTTACATTTCAGTGTTATTTGGAGGCAAGAGCTGTTTCTAAAAAATCCTTTTGAATTTAAAACATTTCAGTTTCTTCTTCGATCGATGTTTATACTTTTCACATTAAATGAACGCCACTTGCGATAGCGGTCCATTAACGAATTGATATAAGGTTATTAAGTGCCGTTTCGCATTATTCATACCTCGGATATTAAGGGCTTTCGTTTATGCTAATTGCTGCTTATTAAACGAAATAATTTGTTTCTTTATTACTAAATTGAGGAAGATTGGCGGTGGGTGATCATGGATAATTTGAATGGGTGTTTACGCATTTCTAATTTATGGTAGCCGTTCAGCGGATTTTTTTCCGATAATTGAAATTGATGTTGATTACTTCGGTAAACATATTTTGTACCCTAAAATTAAATTTTAAAACGGTGCATTTTAATCGAAATATATTACAATATTTTGCAAAAAGTTAATTGAAGGTTGAACGTTTTTAAATGGTCAACAACGTAACAAAATTTACGACGTGACTGTTAGTAAGAATCAGACTACTTTTGGCTAAGTTCACATTTAAAATAACCTATTGCAGCGAAAATATTTTAATTGGGCTGTTTATGCAAATATGTTGGCAAGCTTCCGGCAAATTAAATTGTGAAGTAAAAGTGAAGCGTAAATGAAATATTATTTGATGTGGGAATTGTCAAAATGTGTTTTAGATATATTTCTTTATCGATGGCGTGCACTTAAAGGACACCCGCCTCTCAACGGAAATATTTCTACCATTTCCAATAAAACGTGTTCTTCATCCAACAATGGCTCCCTTAAGAGGGTCATTTCTTTGTACCTGTCCCTTCCATATTCCCGGCCTTTATCGCATCTCATTTCAATGCGAGAGAGTCATTATTATTCAAAGGGAAGAGCACTTATATCGGGCGTTATTACTCGACGTGGCATTTATTTACGCACCTTCGATAAATCAGAAATTACGTTCCATAGCATTCTCTTGCCTGTAAATAAAAGGGTGTTCTCGATTGGATCTAGATCGCTATCTCTTCATGCTTTAGAGAGTTTTATTCATTTAACTTCGATATCTTCATTATTACGTACTTTTTGTTAAATGAAGCAATTGGGAGATAGAGACAACGGCTTTTAGTGCCATTTTTCACTTTAGCCTTATTTGCTACCGAGTTCCAGCATTTTCAGATCTGACTGAAAGAAGGAATTTTAAATTTCACTCGTTTTGTCCATAGTTATTAAAACGCAATTACTATCGTGTTCAGAGTAGGCTCTGCTGTATTTACTCACTTATTCATAATCACATTTGACAAGGAAAGGAGCGCATCCTGTGCGATTATGCTCGCTTTGCTGAAAACCAATCTGATTAGGATGAAGTCCTGTTTAACTTAATAAACCCGAACAATCGAACATAAAGCGCATTATCGTTAATATCGCTTCGTCCCTGTAATGCAATATTGAACTGCATATCAAGCTTACCATGCTGAGACATAACAAGAGCATTGAAGGCAAAAAAAATTTAAATTATTTCTATCGCCAAATCAGTAGTTTGTTTCGAAAGTTGCAGATTTAAATTTATTTTCTCAGATTTCATAAGCTCACGTTAGCCACAATTGAACAACAAAAACTACTACAGAAACAATCAATGATTGAAATTTGCCGTTAAATGCCTTTGCAAGGTCCATATATGTAAGGTGAAAGCTTTAAGCGCTTTATTTAGCGTGTTTAATAAATAATACAAAGCAGTCCGCGATTGAGCTGATGAATTTTTTTATACCTATAGAGTTGCAAACGCTCTGTTATCCAACGCTTCACTACCAAATGTGAATGAAATATTTCTGTCTCTCCTCTTTTTAAGCTCAATATGCTTTTGCATCTTACCACTGACTGGCTCTTCGATTTAATTTTTCTTTCAATCCAATTTCAACTGATATTCTGCTAAAGTTTTAGCTTTAATATTCAGTAAGTATTTAAAGTTTCAATCGCAATTTCAATTCTCAGGGATCGTTATCCGAATCAACTATGGTTGGCGCCGGTGTGCGAACAGAACGAATCTAGAAGAGCAGGATTTTTAATTAATTTTCAACTGATGCTTCCTTAACTGTTAATTAAAAACAAAAACGTTTTTCTGTTAAACCGGAAAAACGTTAATTGTTTCGATAATCATCTGGGCATTTAGCAGATTCAACGCTTAAATGAGAGTATTTCGGCGCTTTTTGAAGAGATTGAGATTTGGAAAAAAACATGCAAGATTTAAGAAAATAAAGTATTAAAAAATGTTGCTAAACCAATGAAATGCGCCAAATTTTAAATTGACTTTAAAATAAAATCAACCAGTTAATTGAAACATTGTTATAGTATTCCGTAGTATCATATGAAAGGAGTTGATTTTTCAATTCGCACCAATAATTGAGATTAGGTAAAAATATTATACTTACTAAACTCAATAAATATGCGTGTTCTACGTTTCTTCGGAAGTTTATAGTTCAGAATGCCTAAGATAACTAATTGCGATGATTGCGACAGACAGGGATAACGCCCAGAATAACGTAAACCAATGTAAATTGGCACCAGTTTGGACTGTTGAACTATATTTTCGCCAATTTCTGCGTTTTTTGCACTTAATCCAACAATATGGAAAAGTATGGACTTCAGTAATTCCCTACATCGGGTAATACTTTTACGACAACCACAATGGAAGAAAGTCAGAGTA